GGATGTACGGAGACTTACTCAATTACATCATTCGCAGTGCTTTTTCAATTTCACTATGGAGAACCACTATTACTTTCGGAACCTGACTGTGAATGCGTGTAGCATACATGTGTCATGTTGTCATTGTCATGTGACTTACAGTATCACTTCCCTGCCATTCACAACTTGCCCGTGGCCTCATGGGATATAAAAGTGTCCATCGGATAAATACTGGTAATTCTGGCAACTGTTTTTTTTTTGCTAACTATAGTATATAATAAAGGAATATTTGGATGCATCCGTGTTTTTCCCCCTCAATTAGTGTTTTTGAACAAATCGATTGAGTCAATGATTCAATGACTCACTAATAAAGACAATGGCTGTGTCCAAAATCGCATACTCCCTTGAGGAGGTTTATTTTCAATAAGTCATTATATCACAACTGCTAAAAAAGCATGTTCTACATAGCATTAATGTACTCTGTACAAGCTACATTTGTCATCGTCGTGTGACCCACCGGCATCACTTCAATGCCCTTCACAAATGGCCTCATGGGATAGTAAAGTGTTCTTCGTATACACACTTCAGAATCTCGCCGGAAGTATTAATTCATCCGGGTACTGATTTATGAATACTGTGATATACTGTTTTACACATATAGTAGGGAAGTATGTGATTTCAGATGCAGCTATAATCTTCTCATCCGCTATCGACAGTCTGTATGGAAGCTAAATTGGAACATAAACAGCAAGTATAGAATATGTGGTTTAAAAATTCCTGCTCTTTTTCATGATAAAGTTCTGCATTAGATATTCATGAAGGGGTGTCTGATCTTACATGATGACAACATTAGGTTTGACCATGATATTTGGTGGACCTGGCTTTTCACATCAAATAATATTATTGCATGCTGCTGTCAATGAAGGTGTAAGGTGCCGTGCCAGGCACAGTGGATTAATCCTGTACGTTTGCAAGCATTGCCAAAAAAGCTTACATTTAAATACTGAGAATCCAATTAAGAGCGTCATTATGGCGGAACAACAGTGGATGACATGGCCAATGAGTATACAAGGATGGCACCATTCCCTAGACATTACTATGAATGTGGGTGGATTTCTGCAGTGGTCTGAGCTCCTTAAGGAGATAATAGTTTCCCAGTTTAAGTGCCTTGCTACATGCTCATGGGCAAATAAGCTCAGAGTTTCTGGGAAAGTAGTCCACCCCCCACCGAAAAGTCCACTTGCAATGGTCAGTTATCCGCTTTAATTTCCCCAAGCTACTTACTGACACTGCTTACTGGCATGAGCATGCTGAATGCACCCAGACGTATGGGACGGGACAGGGTGGGGTGGGGTGGGGGAGGGGGGTGTTATGGTGTGCTTGTCTGACTGAAGTCCATGAAGTTAAACTTCAGTTCAGAAAATGTAGAAAAAATTCTTTCTGCACGAGATATTCATTTTTCACAATGGACAATGTTGGACATCGCCCAACAGTTTTGGTGCCTGATTATTTCCTAAATTTACCTGATTTTGTTTTTAATGAACCTTTCATTTTGAAATTTCATTTGGCCTGCTGGAAATATCACAATATCATATGTTATAATTTAAAGAGTAATCGTCCAGCACCCAGTTGAGATTGTGAGCAGATTTGGCAATATTAATTTCACACACACACAGTTATATATATATATATATATATATGGGTACATTAATACACATTGTAATTGGTTACTGATTAAAATTACATGACAAAAATTGTAGTTAGTAGCGTAATTACATATTTAAGGTAATATAATCTGACTACTACTTAATCGTGTACCATATTGATATAAAAATACAAAGAGAAAGAAAATATATTCCATTCTTTGTTATCAACAATATGAAGTGCATTAAATATTGCATTATGTCAGGGTTTTCCATACTGGGGTTCGTGAGGTTAATGAAAAGCTATTAAGTAATTAAATCATAAAAAAATGACATTAAAATAAATAATTTACACAATTTTTTTAAAACACTACTAAAAAAGATTGTAATATATATTATTTGCCTGCATGTCATGTCACCATTAACCGACATCAGAGAACCATGGACTTAATTTTTATTTATTTTTATGGACAATTTTATTATTGACCTAACTTACAAATTAAAATCTCAGGGTGTACTTCAAGCAAATATATTAGGTCAAAGAAATTTAAGCTGACAAAAAAGTTGGGGAATCCCTGCATTGCATGTAAATATGAAATGACTTGAATTTGTACATTTTAATGTGTTTGAAAGACAAACGCCTTCCAAATACATTAATGCATGGTTAAATAACTCACTGAAACGGAGTGATAATTCAAATAATAAGTAATGTGTTAATCAGGAGCTGATTAGATATGCAATGTTGCAATGTTTAGAAAACACTTGTTAAAAGTGAAATGATTTCTGTAAATCCAGTGATCACTTGTGGTTTTTTCTCAGTTTTCTGTGATAGTCACATGACCAGTGGAAGGTCTGTGTGTGCAATTCCACAAACCTGGAAGACCTTCTGAACGTATACAAGCAGTATGTGTTTTTAGAAAGGAAAATTTAAAAGATAAAGTAGTAGGGAGAATGAACGAATGATGAATATTTGACTGCCATTGCGAGAATAACATCTAATCATGTAATAATCAATAAAAAGTAACAGTAGTCTGAATAAAAACAGGAAAAAAAACAAGAAAAAAAAATTGAGAACCACTATTATTGCATCAGCTTATAATATTAAACCATTTCAAACATTGCCAAATTCTCCTTAGAGTTTCTGTCTTCACTAATAATCCTGGCAAATATGTCCATGTAATGTTGGAGTGGTAGTGAGAGAAAGAAGGGTCGCTTAATGTTACCGAAGCAAACAATCCATTTCAACAATGGTGGACCTTTTTTTCATTCACAGGAATACAGACAGAAAACAAATGGAACTGAAACGTGTTACAGGAACTTTTTTTTTATTGCAATAGCTCTATTGAAAGCAAAAAAAAGATAAATACAAACACTAAGCAATGCTCAAATGATTTGCCTGCTTTCAGTCTTTTTTTCCCACCAGAGGAAAAAGGAAAGTCTATCAACTGCAGAAAAAAAAGGATCAGTATGTACACGCATGGATACAACCATAAAAAGTTTTCCTTTTTTGAATTTTCTCAGACTCCATCGGACCTCCACACCTGAACTTTGCCATCTGTCAAGCATAGACTTCAAAAACAATAGCGAACAGAAGACAAGAGTACCAAAACATACTAATGAGGTTCGACAAATACACGAAAACTGACAAAGGGATGCACAAACTTCCCGTCTCTTTGACTTTGAAATGATACCAAATGAAAGAATTGCCTTTCATAAAACGTTTCCAAAAGAAAAGATCTGAGCTATTAAAACAAAAACAAACAATTTGGGGGGAAAACATATTAATGCTGTACCACTGCACATCTGTACTAATCAATGAAAATCATGGCAAGAAGCAGTCAGCTTGATCACATACATTAGCAAAAGGCTCATATCAAATACATTTATGTGGCTGATTTAAAGCTTTTATGTTCAAAAATAATTTGTTTCAGTGTAACTCTTAGAGATCATTCTCACAATTACAAATGTTATGCTGACATTAGCCAGAAAAAGACTAACCTGTACCCTTTTTTTATGCCAACGTACCATTTACCACATCGAGGCAATTTGGGGTTTTAGACATAGTTTTGGACATTGAGCAAAACCTTGTTTTCACAGAACCACAGCTGAGCTTTAATGGCCAATCTGTGCTAGTTAAGACTTGCTTTGGTAAATCCATGACGAATGAATCCTTTTACCAGACGACAAAATTCACTTTCGTACCATTGACAGAATAACAATGAAGACCGTACCGTACACAGTTTTTTCTTTTTCTCTGTCACGACAAGTTTCACATTTGATTTTGTCTTTTAAAACAATGTGTAGCAACAGGGAAATGTAAAAACAAAAAGGAAGGCTGTACCTAAAGTCTGAACCAGATGGAGTAGTGTGCATATCACTCCTTTGAAAAAATATTAGAGAACAATGCAGAATTCAGTTCGATGAACTGTACCACTTCCTGATCAAAACAGGACATACCGCAATACTGAGAGAAGAGTATCATGGAACAAAGAGCAGCTGATTGGTAATACTAAAATATTGAATATAATTAATTATAAATAAAATATGAATGAAATGTTGAGGCTGTTTTAATGTTGTCTATTGAAGGAGATCCTACGATCTTGCCAACAGCATGCATAAAGTTGTATACAGACATACCTTCGTATTGTGCTGTTTGTTCACGAAGTAAAGAGGATATCCCCTTACAGTTCATTAATTGTGGGTACCAAAACAAAACTCGAGAACACATTTATATTTATTGGGATGATATAAATCACTAACTCTGTGCTCATCTGAGTGTCATTTTAGCAACTGCAGCAGATTTCATCAGGGGAGTCCCAGAATAGACCCTTCCTCTTTTCCTCCCTCTCTACAGCACACTTGGCAAAGAGGAGATGATGCTGGTCAAAAATAAGTACGGGAACAGATACGAAAAGGCTAAGTTTGGGCTGCGCCACATGCCAAAAAGGCACGGTGAAAAACACCTGTCCCTGCACTGGGTAAAGCAGACTGAAACGGCATGACTAGCCTGACACTCACAGACACTGAAGAACAGTGTTGATAGTACAAAAGAGGATGTTTCTACGGTCCAAAACTGAAGATGTGCGTGAAACTTTAAGTGAGAACCTAACGCAGACAGACATTCATTAAAAAGAAAAGAAAAAAAAGAAAGACACTACTGCTGTACAGTCACATCCCATCTGCAGTCTGTACCGTACCGATATATGTTCTCTCTGTTAAGCAAACGGTAAACAAACACTAAAATCTGTAATTGCACCTGAAATCTTTATGGGAAATAAATACAATTTGTACATACGCGTGATGCTTGTAAACAGCATGCACCTGTCTAAACCAGACTTGTGGATTATGGTGTCTTGGTAAGATGAACCTCCCTTTTTATGCAGCAGATAAAACATTGTGATACAAATCACAAAGCACTGAACTCATACAAGACAGAACGTATGGATGTGCTCTGAGACAGCACACATACAAATAAAAATAACCATAAGAGTCCATTAAAACAAAACTCAGGATCCTTTTGCTGTCACAGGGTTGTGTGCTCGGGCTCGCACGTTATCCGGCATCTCTGCAGGAGCTTGATGGGACAGTCCTTAGTCTGTAGTGAGAAAAAGAGAGAAAAGATTAACCCATGTACTATGTGAAGATGGGATACCATCCCTACCCTTCAATTAATCGTATCACTCAGTGTATTGATGGTTCAGTCACGTGCCATATAGTGTTTAAAGGGTTAGTTCACGCGAAAACGACCTTATTTACTCACCCGCACGTCATTTTTGGAAAAACAAATAATATTAAAAACCAGAGAGATTTTGGTCGCCCCATTGAAAAGTCCGTTCTTGCAGATCAAGCAAGCGTGGTTGAGCTTCTGTTTACCATATTTGATGAGCACCATGTGCAGCGTTCAATGTTTATATGTGCGCTCGGACTAAAAAAAGTTGTAAGCAGAGCTGTCCGTAACAAAACTCTACATTTAAATTTACTTGGAAGGACATTTAGGCTACATTCACACACTCAGTGTTTGGGGATCAGCCAGTGTGTCATGTTCATTCATACATCAGCGTACAGTAACGGCTTGCGTATTGTGAGAGAGACCTTTTTTCTTTTACATGACTATCTTTCCATTCATCCTCTACCCAGTTTTACCATCTCCTACCCGTCCCGTCTAAGGATAACACCACGTGCCCTTCACCTGTCATTGCCATCTTGATCCCGTTACAGCTCTGGTGAGCAGTGGGGTTGTACGGTGGCCTGCTTTGACCCTGGTGCACACAAACAGTGCCTTTGATAAAGGGCTTTGTCTGACCCAACAATGGTGGTGGGGGCACAATGCCACCGCTTTCAGAGCTCTCCGCACAGCGGCGTCTGGAGCGGCAGGAATGCCACTGGTTCATTGTTCAAGGGCAGGTCCGATGGGGCACCAAAGGTCCCAGAGTTCCTCCCGATCATACTGACAACCACAACCTGAGTTTACCAGGAGAGAAGCCACTTAAAACCACATCTACTGGAGTCCGCATGGGTGTCGTCTTCTGTTTATTAGAAATATGAGTCTTCAAGTTTTGTTTAGGACAGACAGAAGTTGCCATCACTCCTGCCCACACACAAAGCAGCCCAAGATCAAGGTAACCAGTCGCCCAGATGTTACATATCAACCACCTTCATATAATCCAATTTCTGATACAGCCCAAGGCTCAACAAAAACATTGCCCTGTCAACATAATTAATTCATTACATATAGCGCTTTTCTCGGCACTCAAAGCGCTTCACATAGAAGGGGGAATCTCCTCAACCACCACCAATGTGCAGCATCCACCTGGATGATGCGACGGCAGCCATATTGCGCCAGAACGCCCAACAGCTTACTGGTGGAGAGGAGACAGAGTGATGAAGCCAATTGGTATATATATATATATATATATATATATATGGGGATGATTAGGAGGCCATGATGGACAGAGGCCAAGGGGCAAATTTGGCCAGGATGCCGGGGTTACACCCCTACTCTTTCGAAAGACATCCTGGGATTTGTTGTGACCACAGAGAGTCAGGGCCTCAGTTTAACGTCTCATCCGAAGGACGGTGCTCTTTGACAGTATAGTGTCCCTGTCACTTTACTGGGGCGTTAGGACCCACACAGACCACAGGGTGAGCGCCCCCTGCTGGCCTCACTAACACCTCTTCCAGCAGCAACCTGGTTTTCTCAGAAGGTCTCCCATCCAGGTACTAACCAGGCTCAGCCCTGCTTAGCTTTAGTGGGCAACCAGTCTTGGGCTACAGGGTGATATGGCTGCTGGCAAACATTTTCACTGGCCCCGCCACAAAGGAATGCTAAAAAAAATTAAATACCAATGCATTTTAATATTTGCTCAAATATATACACACTACAGTTTACAAATCTGGGGTCAGTAATAGGTTTAATGTTTTTGAAAGAAGTCTCTAATGCTCCCCAAAGCTGCATTTAGTTGACCTAAAATACTGTAAAAACAGTAATATTGGCAAACATTATTAATATTTAAAATAAGTTATATTTTATTGCTTTAAAATATAATTCCTGTGCTGGCAAAGCTGAATTTTCAGCATCATTACTCCAGTCTTCAGTGTCACATGATCCGATGTGATCATGATCTGATTTGGTGCTCAAGAAAAAAAAATCTTATTATTATCAATGTTAAACCAATTGTGCTGCTTCCGATTTTTGTGGAAACAGTTTTAAAATTCAAAAGAACAGCATTTATTAGAATTAGAAATTTTTTATAACATTATAAATGTCTTTACTCTCTTTTGATGAATTCAATGCATCCTTGCTGAATTAAAGTGTTTTTATTTTTAGCTTTTTATATTTAAGCCTTTTCTAATTATTGGAATGTCATTCATGTTGGACTTGGCCTCATAACATAGAACAAAAACTTAAGAATTTTGAAAAAACATTCTGACTGATATGGTGCCCTAGATGGGTTCACACATTACCAAACACAACCACAAATCACCTGCAGAAATCCTTTTATTTTAGTACTGTATATCCGTTTTACTTTATCATTGCTGTTTTTTACTATATACCCTTCTACCTTTCTAGTGCAGGATCACTGCTCCACCTGTGGATGTGAAATTTTGTATTAAGTAGAGAGAGAAGAAAGGTGAGAAGGACGGGGAGAAAGAGAGACAAATAAATACAACAGTAAAAGATACTAAGAAGACTAAGGGACTCCTTATCTAGATGCCTGTTTAAATCCACCCAAATCAGTCTTAAGTGCATGGCATAAAAATCAATTTAGAAGATCAATGAATGTAACAATTTCAGTGGCATCGCATCATTGCCCCAAAGGGGCAAGTGACAGATCGGCCAACTAGCCCAGGGCCCGTGGGCCATCCTTATTGTCCTGCATGCCCTAAAGAGAGAATGACAGCTTTCAGCTTTCAGCTTCCAATAGTTTTCAGTTTTTCCTGCCTTGGAGCAAACCACAATACAGTTTGCCAGGGAATATGGCACTAACCAGTGTTGCCAGACTGGGTGGGTAAAAATTGGTTTGGGAAGGTAGACAAAATTTGGGCTGGTTTGGGATCAGTTCAGCAGTTTTCAAACATCTAAATCTTATAGGTTAATAAACAAAACTCAATGTTTGCATGTACAGTACTCCATAAAATCAGTCATTGTGACGTTACTAAACACACAGGCCAACCGCAAAGTCGGCTGGCGTTGACGTCACAGACGAGCATACACTCTAGCCAATCAGCAGGTAGACGTGATCATTCATGACTGGTGGGTTTTTAGCGCGATAACTTGTAGCTGTGTATAGGTTTAATTGATTGCTTTAACAAAGTGGCATAAATACACAGCAAGTTATATCTAGTAAAGAGTGAGAGAGTGACCCAACTCTCCAAACGTGGATTACACCTGTGGTGACTCGAAGGCTCTTTAAAAATAGGCCTATAACTAACTCTGAGAGCACAGTTGAATGACTTAATTGAAATCAAATATGGGACGACTCCTGTTCATCGTCATGTGCACACTGATCAGGACATCTGAAACTATTAAACCATCTAGATTATCCCCAACAGCTGCTGAAAGAGTTGTCAACGATTAATCCGTTTTGACTGTGCCAAGTTCTGTTTTATGTTCTACAATATGTACTTACCGAAAGACGTTCTGTCTGAAGTTAAAACGCAACACAAAGGTAAGAGCATTCTTGTTGTTGTTGCTATTTTTTTGTTGTCGGATTATCGTACAGTACAGAATGCATCAATGAATGACACATTTTAGCTGTGGTGTTTTGCATTAACGTGCGAAATGACTGCTTATTTCGATCACCTGTATTGGGCACTTTTCGCACTTAAATTGACTTCTTACTCTTGACATTGAAATTGATGCATGTTTTTTTCCGAGGGTTTAAGTTATCGGTTAGTTTCTTGATTGCCGTTTTGACAGTTTCCACCTAGACATTTTAATATTTGCTAATTCTCTTTAATGTATTTGCCCTGTTTTGATCCGTTTTCCTGGGAATTTGATTTATTTTTATTTTATCAACATTATTTTGTTTTAAGGATATAAAAATGGTGCTTATCAACCTTAATTGACATAGCAATCAAATTCTATCAAATTATTTTGGCAGTTAAAGTTTTGGGTGGGTTTTGGTGAGCTTTTGGGCTGGAAATTATTGGCCCAATCTGGCAACACTGGAACTAACAACTTGAAAAATTAAACCCAAATTATACAAGGGAGTGATGAAAGTAATGGTCAAATAGGTTTTGGGAGCTGGGAACTAGCTGCATCTTCCACAGATCATTTGCTTTAAAATCTACCCACCATTGTCACTCTAAACCCCACTGTCAAAATGACAAAGATGCTCTTTTCCATACAATAAAAAATATATATCACTGGCTGTCACTGGTGCCTCCTCAATTTTTTTTAAAATATAATAATAATCTAAGACAGAAAAGGAAGCCAACAAGAGGTTACCCCTACTCCTGCAAACAAACCAAAATGACCATTTTTAATCTGAGCCTGTCCAGTTTGGGTCATTGATGTGTTATATATTAACCACCTTTGTGGAATCAAAGAGATACCATTCAGTCGTCCTCTGTCCTAAAAAGTGAACTGCAGCACAAGACCATCTGCGTCACTTGCTGAACACCAAACTCCATGTGCGTCACCACACACACATCACAAGCATATCATAGTGTGATGCCACAGCAGGCCACCGCTATAAGTGGAACAATGACCAAACCACTGCTGCCTCCCTTTAATTCCTGGCCTATTTTAGGCGTTGTTCTGCCAGCCTACGACAGTGGGATTGCCCCTGACCCCGCGGGAGTCTCTTCTTTCACTAGTAGATGAACTTACGAAAGGTGGCACTATCCCATACAGACGTCATCGGACCAGAAGAACTGTGTTGGCATGGAGAGCTGATTTGTGTCATTAAGATCACCTTCAGTTTAGCGAGGTGCTCGGTTTCATCATGAAGAAAGGAGAATCCAAAAAGACGACAATTTGCAAATCAAGAAAGCAACAGGGATGCTATGTAAGCTCACAGCAAATGTTGTATGCTGACTTGTTTCCCAAATAATTTGTCATTTTGCTTGCAGAGCAATTCACTACTCTAT